ATTAGAGAGGTTTGAACTTACGTACGCAGCAGGTGATGTTGGAGGTATGGCACGCGGTCGAACTTGGAAAAAGCAAGCCTTTTAAAGGACCAGTGCTCATGGAACCTAGATGGGCAGGGAAGTAAATGCTGAGTCAGTTGGTGGTGGTGGTATTTTCTGAGTCAGGTGCAAACCAGCGAGAACAGAAGTCATTTGGGCAGTAGGTGTACCGTGCGATATTGAAGTCTCAGCCCAATGAAGTGAGAAACCCGGTGGAATTCTTTTTTCTGTTGTTATTGATGGCAGAGTCATCTGTTACTATGGTAGCAAGCAATAAATAATGATATCAATTGATTAAAATGTGTGCTGGCATTGCTGCCATGTGATTGGAAGGTTTTATTCTTGGTCTGAGTGTCATTTGTGCAAAATATGGTGGTGCATTAAATTGAAAAATAGATATTTCTTTTTTTTTTGAAGTTGCCCATTTAGTGACTTACGGCAATGGTTTCCTGAATGAGGCTGACACTGCAGACCCTGTGTCACGTAAACTAGTCTTTAAATCCTATTTGGATAGAGTGCCTCTGGCTGCTCCACTCTGATGTGACCATGTCTTCAAAGACACTTCTTAGAAGACTGCACAGTGGGCCTAGCAAGAGACTTCACAGATAAATAACAGATAGTTCTGAATATTTTTCAGCTAGTGTGTTGTGAATGGAAAGGAACCTGGCAGGAGAAAGGAGGAACATATCAAATATATCCCAGAAGCATTTAGAAAGTTGTTTTTTTCTAAATTGGTTTTACAAATGCAAATAAACAATACAGTGCCTGAAAGAAAAGTAATTTTTATTTTGCATAACAGCCTAAGACGACTCATTCCTTTGCCTGAAAGAGAGAGATTTATTTTTTAAACTGTAGCAGAAGGTAACAGTAAGCAGGATGAACAAGTTGCATGTCTTTTGCATATACGTGAATGAGTTGAGGAGGAAGAAGAAGAATGTATGTTACCACCTTCCTCCAAAACCTGGGGCTGGGCACAACAGCTATCCAGGGAGAAAGGGAGAAATGACCATTTTGGATTACCACTTCCTTTTATTCAGTGGGGCATAGTTATAAAATAATGCCACAGAGGCTCTTGTCTGAGCACCTCCCATGTTGAGGTCTCCTGGAGCCACAGTGTGATGTGAAACTCACCTGAATTCCTCCTTAGTCCCAGCATGGCCTTCCAGCTGCGGGCAAGAACTGGTGCATTTTTCCTTTCAAGAAAGAACGAACAAAAAAAAGAAAGGAATCACATCTTTCTACCATTATGCAGCACTAATCCTTTTAGGAAAGTGTTGGAAATAAACACATAAATGAAAAGGTGCGATCCTTCTTCCCTTGGGAATGCTGTGTGGACTGGCAGGGATGTTGTAGGGTATTATATATGCCTTTTCAGGTTTCCTTTATGCATATTAGATTGAATAATTGTCAATATTGCTCCACAAGTTCTTGTTCTTCTTAACAGAGGGACGCGTAGTTGGGGGATCGTTTATCCGAGTGCACAATGATTAGATCTAGGTTTGGACCACTGTGCTCACCTTTCGTGGTTGCTTACCTCAGTTAAAGTGTTGCTTTGCAGATAGATTTGTATTTTTCTTACATTTTCCAGTGGTGCAAGTACCTGCTGGTTTATGATACAAACCTGCATAAATTGAGAGGCTTGTTGGCCGTATAGTCACTGTGTCACAGCTTAGAATGTGATAAAAGCTCCTTCACATCCATGATGCATTTGGCTTCACAGTGAAGAGAGAGGAGGATCTGAGGACGTCAAATTCCTCAGGATCCTGGTTTTCAGTGGAATCTGGTGCTCATAATTAAGGGAATTAGTAGCTGTCTGTCTTGGTTCATATTCCAACATATTATAAGCCTTAGAAAATATAAGAGTTTGTAGAATAAGAGCATATTACTTCAGTGGGATTTTGGTATATTTTATCAGTTAGTAATAGATACTGCTATTTCCTATACCCATGGAAAGTCACTCTGTGAGGGTTGATAGACATGCTTAAGATACACTAATTGTTGGCATGCAACCTGGATGTTCTATTCCACTAGCCTAGAAAAAACCATCACCTGGATCCTGTGTGCAAGTGTCTGCAACTGCAGGAGAGTCCAGTTAGAAGATCAGTGGTCAGTGGATCTTTAGCTTTTCTGTGCTACGAGGTTTATGGCTAATTTCTTATCTGAACATGAGCACTGAAGAAAAAAAGGAGATAGCAGAGGAAACATGAGGGCAAGGTGTGTAAATTAAGGAGAGAGGAGACGGAGTGAGGGTGACCGTGCGTGTCCCATTATGCTGTTTCCCATTGGAGAGCATCGCATTAGTGCTGTTGCTCTTAGGAGATAAAGGGGAGGGGAAAGCTTGTTTCCTGTGGTTTGAAATGTCATGCAGGTAGTACTCTCAAGCTGCAAGCTATCAAATATTGTGATACATTTAGTAGAAGAGTCCAAATATTTCTGACTTCAGAATTTTCCCTTTGAGCTGACCCAGCCTGAACATTTAAATCTCACTTCTGCAAGATCTAATAGGAAAAATCTTGTCAGCAGGCTGATAGATGCTAATCTTTTTGTTTGTATCGGAAGATTTTCTTTGTCTTCTGGTGCTCTTTTGGGAGACAGTTTCTACACCTTGGAGAGAGGAAAGGGATGTTGTATGGTGTATCGCATGTGAAGAAGCTTCACTTAACTCCTTGCATGTGAGACTTAGAGCAGGCTGAAATGCAATGGATTCTGTGCCTGCCTGCAGAATTTGCACTGGTGAAATAGCACTTCATGAAATATCAGATGGTTGCCGCTGAAGAATTTTTACTTTTAATATTTCACACATGGATGTTTTTCTGTAAGTGTATTCCTTTCTGTTCCCCAAACAAGTGACCAAACTCTGGAGAGCTGGCAGCCAGAAGATTTTATATTTCGTGAAGGTTTGTCACATTCTTATGGGCACAGGACAGTTTGCATGTGGGGAATTTACTGACACTGTATCCTCTACTGGATTTCCTGCTTTACTCCTTCCAGGAGTTTACAGCTTCTGCTCAAGCAGAGCCACCTGTGCTCCATGGAGATTTATTCCAGGGGAGCTCGGGTGATATTCTTCTTGCTGCGATCTTCTTAGGATTTCCCCAGAGTTCTGAATTTTTGATTGTGCTCAGAGGTTCCTGTGCATCCCTTAGCCAGACCTGCCATCCCCAGTCCCTGCCGGCACTGCCCGCCCTTGTGAATGCGCTGGCCGTTGGCAGATTTCATGTGGCAGGGAATTCGCCACATCTTTTCCCTGCGGATGTGCAGTTCTCCAGAGATGTCTCTTGAACCCCTTCAGGCTTGAACCTCAGAGCTTTTTGGTAGATTAAAACTCATTCTGTTTTCAGTGAAAGCTGTCGTAAAATGTCATAAAATTAGATTTCTCTGCTGCAGGGGCTGAGAGACTTGCCCAACTAGGTTGGATAATTCTTACCAGTAAGACTTAGAAATACCTTCTCGCAGGTTTTTTTAATAGGAATGGTAGTATTTTCCCCCATGTGTGTTTTAGATAAACCTTCTATGGAGAGCAGCAATGTGTTTATCATCAACAGTGAAAATACTGACCTGGAAAGGACTTTTTTTTTCTTTTTTTTTAAAAAAAGCATATGCCTTGATATGAATATAAGGAAAACAAAAACCCCACAGCTGCTTTGCCTGCAGGGCTTTTCTGAATAACAGAATGGATCAAAGGATGTTTTTATTTCCTTGTGAAGAGGAAAAATTCATCACTTTATAAATCACAGCAAAAACAAATAAAATCAATATCAGGAGCTTTTTAATAATACTGCATTTCTTATGGCTGTCCTCAGTATAGGTCTCAGCACTAGGTGCTGCACGCAGCTAAAAAGAGTGAACTAAAACCTGTCTCTGACACTGGTTTTCATTTAGCAGTAAGGAATTAACTGGAGTACCAACATCCCAAACACTGACGTGTTTAGAATCTGAGAGCTAAATCTGTATTTTATAGCTCTAGTTCATCTGAACTGTGAAGTGGTATCATAAAATAAATTTTTCCTTTCTTCAGAATTCAAGAACATGTTGGGTAGTTTTACTTTTTTCATCTGTTGTGTGCTGTGGCTGGGTCGTTAATGCACTTTGTCCAGTTGTTAGCAACGCATTCTGAATGTCTTCTATAGACCATTGCGATTTGAACACTTTTTTTGGTTGACGAATAAAGGAGAAGTGCTCTCTCACCTTCTGTGGAATATGTTGGCTTCTGTCCTGATGAATGTTACTATAGGATGCAGTCATTTATTTTAACTGTGTTGAGAGACTTTCAAAACCATTATATGATCTTGTTACCAGCCAGCAAATTCATACTGTGTATCAACGGAGGAAAGTTAGTGCTGAGATCACCAAATAACACTTGCTTTCAATAGAGCTTTAAAAAATTCTGGCCCGGGAATTCTGTGATTAGAAGTAGATCGTCTATTAACAAGTCAGTGCATGGCTAGGGAATAGATCCAAGTGCTTCCTAAATTGGCGAAGTGTTGGCTGGGTACAACAGTGAGCAGTAAACAGGGTATAAAAAGCTATGAGTAGTAGAGAAAAGGATTAAGAAAAAGAGAAAGTTTTGTATTACCTCAGAAATAACTGAGTCATGGAGTTGATTGGTGCAGGCATGAAGTTATGAGCAAGGGAAAAAACCTATCACGATATTTTATTGTCCCTTCTTTAGGTGTTAGGCCTCCAAGACTAAAACCAAATATATATGTGTACAGGTATTTCTTTTTTTTCCATTTTCCTTACTAACATTTCATGTCTAGACAAAGTGCAACAGAGAAACATATTTCTTTAATAGTTTAGTAGTAATTAATAATGTGAATTAATGTTGTGCTGCCATAACATTGACCCTTTCTTATACATACATTGCATTGTTCAGATATCCAAGGATACTCCTGCAGTAGCTTTCACTTATAGTGTTACTTTTTCTTCTCTTTCCTTTTCCTTTTTTTTTTTTTTTTCAGGTTGACTTTGAACAACTCCAGGAAAACTTGTGTCAGATGGAAAGACGGTGCAAAGCATCATGGGATCACCTTAAGGCTATAGCAAAGCATGAAATGAAGCCAACTCTAAAGCAAAAAATGTCCGAGTTCCTTAAAGACTGTGCAGAAAGAATCATAATCCTGAAGATTGTTCATAGAAGAATAATTAACAGGTACAGAATTAGATTGGTGACAGCAATAACTTGATAATAAATGACTTGCTAAAAATAGAAATTATGACATCATAAATATGTTTTTTGTAAGTGTTTAATCTACATTCCAGCAAGGAATGTTACCAGGATGTATGTGGTGCATGCTTTGTTATAAGGCCATTTAAGAAAGACCTCCACTCCAGAAATTTTCTATATTTCTGATGAAAAGAAGCAAAGATCCAGGCAAACATTTATTCCCAAGGTGCAATAACTGCGTCTTTTAACTCCTAGTCCCCAAAACCTAGCAGCTTTATGGTTAAGTCATTATATTTTCAGTCCTTCCCTAAATACTTCAGAGGGGGGTTGGCTTGCTGTCTGATAAACAACAGGCAGTAGCAGAAAAATGCGGTTCTAATGACAAATTTGTCATATGCAGAAGTTGAAAAGAGTCTTGTACAAAGAGCTCTTCTACAGGCAACACCACTCCTATTTGCAAGATCTACAACTATCTGTTTTATGCGTACATGGCAGAAGTTAGAATTAAGATTCCTCTCATTAGGACTTGCTGTTGGGTTTAGTTTCATCCAATGGAGTTAACAGTAATTGCAGTGCTTTGAAATGTACATATTTATGGTAATTCTTCAATACACCTGAGCTTTTTTTTTTTTCAGATTCACAAATGTAGCTTAACTCATCTGAGTAATTTATCTGTGTTCCTGCTTATTAATGAAATTTTGAGAGATTTTTCAACTTCTGAATAATTTCCAAATTGCTGTGGTCAAAACTAGAATCTAGATTCCAAATGATCCCAAATTTGTGCATATACACTTGAGAATTTGATTCAGCTCTTCTTTTGTTTTCATAATGACTTGGTTTTCATGCCATAAGTAAGCAGAAATCCCAATTGCAGTGGAAGGGAAATGAATTCACCAGTTTCCCGTGCTTATCATACGCATTGTGCAAATAAGAATAATATTAACTTGTTCTATTATGTCCTGAAACTACTACTGTAGTTCTCAAAAAATGCATCTGTGTACTTGCATCTTTCTAGGATTGGGAAGACTTTTTATCGTCGGGGATGTAGATGCAGTTAAAAGGAATTCCCATATACTTTTAAACATTCAGTGTGCTATTGTAAATCATGCAATATAGAAGCAACAGTAAAAGCTGCAAATAATGCAAAAGCTCTGAAAGCCACAGAAGCAGTAAAACTGTGAATTGAGAGTATCCCAAACTGAAGTACTTGGTAGATAATATAATTTTATGGTCAGTTTTGTGAACCAGAAATTCTTTCCTTCTTGTGTTTTGCCTGTAAATCTGCATTCTTCTTGTCTAGACTTTCTCCAACGTCCTAATAGCCTCTTTGAAGTTGCTTAATACAAATAAATAGAATTGAAATTTAATAAATATTTTTTCTATAACTGAAATGGAATTGGTCATTCACATGCCAAATTAGTCATATAAAGTAGATGGAGTTCCATAAACAACTTATCTCCTGCATCAGCCTGGGAAAGTGGACGGGGATGAAGTTATCATAGACTAGACTTTCATGGTTTTAATTATAAAATGTGCCAGTGTTATGCAAAGCATCCATGAAAATTTGAAACGCAAAAGAAATGATGGGAGCTAATGAAGTAATAAATGGATTCAGTGAAATGGTGGTGGTAGGGCGGGTGTGTGTCCCCAGAAACCATCAATAAAGTGTTTTTCCCTTTGCATTTATGAACTCCTTGTTTTCCAGGTTTCACTCATTTTTGTTATTTATGGGCCATCCTCCCTATGCAATACGTGAAGTCAACATCAATAAGTTCTGCAAAATTATTAGCGAATTTGCTCTGGAATACCGCACCACCAGGGAACGAGTTTTGCAGCAGAAACAGAAACGAGCTAACCACAGGGAAAGAAACAAGACCAGAGGGAAAATGATAACAGATGTAAGTGGCAAAGTATATCTCCCACAGCATGAATTTTTAAAACTTTCTTTCATTGAATGTTGTATATGAAGTGTTGCTACTCTTTATTTTTATTCTTAAGAGTTTCTTCTGCAGTAGGTAATGAACTGTCTTCTCTTAGAAGACAAAACTTGCAAGTCCTTGACTGTGTATATTTTTGCTTTGTGCCAATTTATAGAATGAGAACAAACTGAAATTAAGCATCCAAAAAGAGCATCTCTGTGTGTTGCGCAGACAGTGCCCAAAATATCTAGAAGACACCAGGAGCTGTGTGTACCTGATCAGCGAAGAATATGAAAAAGAAAAAAAAAATTTGAAATTAGGCTCCTGATTGATGACATGATTTAAATGATGAACCATTGTAGCCATTTAAGTGGTTACAAGCAAATTTACATGGATTTTTTTCCTCCGTCTTTGAATATTCTAACATAGTATTTCACCTTAGTATTTTATCTATTTTTATGTATGTATATACATGCATGCACATGCACAGCAATTTTCTTCTTAATTCTAAAGCACAGAACAGCCAAATTCATGGAAACAGACTAATCTGGGGTTCTGAAAGAACAGACAAATTTATGTTCACAGTAGATGTTACCCTGCAAACTTTTTGACTGTATGATTGCATACTGATAGAATAAATTAAAATTAGTTTTCTCAGCATAGTAAGCTTTAAAATCCCCTTGATTTTTTTTAATCTTTTCTTTTAAGTTGATGTAGTTTGACTCAATCCAAATAAAGTTTTAAGAAGTGCCAGTACTTAATAAAAGTTTCCAGCTGTCTCAAAATCCAAATCTGGAGTCTCGATTAGATGCGAGTGGTTCGTTGCATATGAAGTTACCCTTGCCTTTGGCATGAAAAGCCCTAAGCTGATTACAGTTTTATGGCTCAGGCAACATGGGTCAAAATATGTGTATATATTGAGACTGATATAAATTGAGATTGTATTTAAGTCATTGACTCACGATCATTTGTAGATCTTTCCTGGCAATATCCTCTTTAAATCTGGAAATCTGCCCCACCTAGAGAAAATGTTAAACCTGTACTATTATCTCAAAATATTTTCCTTTAGTTCTAGCCTTGGGTTAAGGAAGAGGCTCTGATTTTATGCAGAGGGTATAATATAGTCATACCAATTTTCAAAATTGTCACTGGGGAACTGAGATTGCTTTCTTCAATTGCTTCTCGGTTTTCCTGCTGTATCCTAGAGGAGCTAAAAGATAGCATTAACCAAAGAGATCAGTAAATTACAATGTGCGCTTCCTCAGGTAGCTTCAATACTTTCTACCAGTTTAAAAATACTGGTGTGAAGGAGTTACTCTCCTCCTACTGTATGATGTAGTGTTCCTGCATTACCTGTCCAGCAGAACTGGCTGTGGCAGGACAGAAAGCTTCTCTACATCCTGTTCCTGCAGGAAACGTGAGGGGAAAAGGAAAGAAATCTGATCACTGGCAGGCGGGGTTCAGGAAGCGGAGAGAAGGGACCCTTTCAAACCAGAATAAGGCTCAGGGTTGACAGGTAGTCAGTGAGGAGCAGAGCCAGGGATGATGGCCATTTTCTGAAAATGTAAGAAAGGAGGCAGCTAGGCCTTTCCCAGAAAAACATCATTGGAAGAAGATGTCTTGTTCGGCTCAAGATAGCATTGAGATTTGACGAGAATTAAATACCATCTGACAGCTAGTGTTCCACCTAAAAATATCTTGCAGGTCCCCAGAAAGGGAGCATTTTTTGCATATCGCTAATTAACAATTATATAATGGTCCTATTAGCTTAAAAACAAAAAGCCTGCTGGAGTAAAAAAACCACATTCTTTAAAATTCCCCTTATAGAGATATTCTTTAAAGGAGTTGTTCATGTGGCCATATGGTTATTTCAGGGCTTACTAAATCTCTTTAACTGTAACCCAGTAATATGGCCTCATTTACTGCTCATTTGACTGCAGTACATGGTGAAACAGAATTAAAGTTGCATAAGACTGGTTGTCACAGCTTTCTTTAACAACTTCAAAGTCAGATCTACCTCAAAACAAGTTTCCAAGTCAGCAGGATGGAAGATATTTATGTGTGAAGAATGATGAAAAAGGGGACTTTTCTTGTAGTCTTGTGCTGGCTGTGGTTTGTATCTAGTCTTGATTTTCTTAGTGGTTTATATTCAAAGGCATTGAGAAGGGAAGATATATCAGTAAGGCTTTGACACTGTGTTCAACTAGTTACAAAGCACAGAAGTATAGATCTTGACATTGGAAAGAAACTCTTTGTAGAAAGTAATTCTGATAAGAAGTAGTCATGTGGAATTTTAATTTCTGCTTTTGGTGACCTAGCAGGATTGTGCAGTTATTTGATACTTACCTCCCTGTCCTTTCTAAAGTTGCCTCAGGATCTCATTTTTATCACCTCACAGTACACGACTTTTAGGCAGAAGAAGGGGGTTTTTAGCAACAGCGGGAAAGGAATAAGCCAGAACCTTCCCAGTTCTTAACGAGAAGGCACGTATCTCTTAAACCTTGGTCCCCCCTGCAGACTTGGAAGGCAGAGGGGTGCTGGCTCTTTGTGTGGAGAGAGTCTGCTGGCTCTTTGCGTGGAGAACTCGCATCAGCTTCAGCAACCGCTCACATGGTGTAGGGCTGAGAAACACGATGGGGAATATTTCCAGTCTTTCTTTCAGCCTTTTACCACAGAGATCTTCACGTTTATGTGTTCTTTAATAGCTCAAGTGGACAGCGCACTGTCAGTTTAAATCTTGGTGAATGTTGTCTGCAAGAGAGAGAAGGATTCGGGAGGGTGGAGGGATGGACAGGAGGGTAAGGAGAAAAAAAAGAACAGTGAGTTGCCACAGTTTCACAGGGAAAATTGCCTAGTCTCTGTAACCTTATATCTGGCTTTAGCCAGTGATAGCACTCGTTTCAGGCACACTAAAAATAACAAGCAAGCAAAATAGGGAAGATACGCAATTATAGATAGAAGTCTGGTCTTTTTAATGATTTTTAATAATAGTAGGTAATATAAGCATCTGTCTCCCAGATTTATGAAGCTCTACTTTTTATGATACTTCAAGAGTTTCAGTTCCAAAATTGCTATGTAATAGAAATAATATTTTGAAATGGCAAATCCACCACATCGAAATGCTAGCCTAAAGGAAAAATGGAAGGGAGGGAGGAAGAAAGGGAGGGACAGAGGGAAGGAGGGAGATCTCAGATTGTCCCGCAGCACCCAATATTGGATGACAGAAGAAATAAGCAGCTTTTTTTTTCTTCTTAAATTTAACATTGTGTGCCTGCAAGAGGTATTCACTATAGCCGTAGTCTTTCGGTGCTTTTTGGTAATATTACACGTTAAAAATTTCCTAATTTATTAATATTTCTCAGTGTATTTATAATGATGAAATTAAGAAGGAAGTAAAAGGCAGAATGTGCGCACCTGGGTTAAGAGCAGTTTCCCTTGTGAAACAAAAGGTCGATTTTTAGTTTGCTACTTTGACTCCAGTTGTCAGTATTTGCTGGGGGCAAATGGCTCTCCAGACATGGAAGCATGATGGGGATGGTGACCTGCTCCTCCTGTGCGCTTGGAGTGACTTCGGGTGTAGAAGGACAGTGGTTCTAGGTGTGAGCCCTCTCCACCCAGAGCAGGAGGAAGGGAAACGGTGATGCCCCGGGTACCAGAGGTGAGCAAAGTCAAACAGAGTGAAGTACATTGCCCTTAAAGTAAGTCCACAGCAAATCACCTTTAGCTAGATCAAATGGGTAGGAAGGCCAGCAGCTGGGACTTCCCCTGTAAAAATCTAGCTTGATATAAAGTTAATAATATAGTACACTTCTGTTTGGAGCACACTTTTTGTAATGTGTGTACTCTGCTATTTCACCTTTCCCTGAGTGCCTTTTGCATATTGTTTAGCTTAATTTGCTCTCCTCCTGCCCTTTATTTATTAGATAGGAGTACGTATGGGTTAGAATACCAGTATGTTCTTGTTTGCCATTCTTCTCCTTTCTGTTTCCTATTCATGCCAAAAAGTGAACAGTGGCCTTCTTCAGAAGAATTGCTTTACGGTGTGACTCCCTGCCCCCTCGGGGATGGGGGGAAAAAAAAAAAAAAAGGGTCTTTTTAATGTAAAGGGAACATACCTGCCGAGGTCCCTCTGCAAAACATCTGTGTGTGTTTCTGTCAGTGCCACTGTGTCCAAAGAAAAATAAGCATCTCGCTCTTTGAATAAAACATACCCTTAAAAAGTAATGTTAATGTGCTGCTCAGTACTCTCACAGCTAATCTTCTTATGGAGATTGTGCTGAAACTAAGCTGAGGGCCAAAGTAAATCAAGCTTTCGTTTTTAATGATGAATGTTTCTGGAACAGAATGTATCAATCCCAGACAGAAATCATAGCTGAGATGGAGATAAGGTCAAAAATATGTATTAGTAACACTAGGGAGGGGAATAGAATTGGTGGAATGCTTCTTTTAAAAAACAAAACAAAACCCACAAATAAAAAAATGCATCAAATTTCTGGGCTATGTTTGCACTTTATAAGCAATCAAACTGAAAATTATGGAAACAAGGAGCCCACATATTTGAGAAACTGTTTTACTTTGGGAACCTTTCATACAGGGCATCTTACAACCCAATGAAGAATTCCCCAGGCATTTGGGAACACAGCTCTAAATAGTTTGCTAATTCCCTGTAAATCCTCAAATTTAAGAACACTCCATATGACACAATGTTTTGATATGCCCATTGCATTTAATGTAGTGTGATTGTCAAGATAGTTTTATACGCCTGCTGTCACACAGGGTGCAAGTCCTGAATGACAAAGGGTAATTGCGTCTCTAATTTCCAGGATCTGATATTGGGCAGCTACTGAAGAACTTTAAGCATTTATTCAAGGACTACTCAGCATTTGACTTGAGTGCTTTGTTAAATTGGAAGTTGAAAAACCCAAGCTTAAAAAAGGAATTAAAACAAGCGCTTAAGTGTAGAGAAAAGGAATTGCCAAGAAGCTGACCTCTGCACTGGGAGAAAGAGAAGCCAGGACCTCCCTGTACTGAACAGAGCTGGAAAAAGGAGAGGGAGACCTTCCTAGTGCTCTCAATTTCCACAGGGCAAAAAGTGGGCAAGCAACTGAGTGGGAGAGAAATAGGATGGATTAGGGGTAGTTTCAGTTCATAATTTCTCTTAAGAAAAATCAGGCAATTTTTATATACCCTACTGACAGTGATAGTCTGTTCTACGTACAATTAACTAAAAAAAAAAAAGAAAAAGCAAGCTGACTGATTGTCTAAGGAATTAATTCCTTATGTGCTTTGTATTCTTATGTCCTCCTATAATCGCATAAACAGTGCCACAGTTACCTCTTACTCTGTCGTGGTTTGACCATACTGTTTTTCCTAAATCTTGCTGTTTGTCCTTCTCCACCCTGTCCTTTGTTTCCGGTGGCAGACCGATGAAGAGGATGCTGAGGTATGGTTCTGTGAAAGAGCATGTCATTCTTATGTCCCCCGTGTGCTGTGACATCTAATTTCTAACTCAGATAGCTCAACTCCATCTGCTCAACTGGAACTATGAACCATGACATTTTTCTCATAGCTTTTTGGCTCAATCATAAGAATGCATTTTTACAGTCAGCTTTAACCATATGCATACCTGCACTCTTGAATATGGATATCCTGATCTGAGGCCTTAATAATTTTAAGTTTCCTCATTTCTTTCCCTTAACGTCGGTTTACTAAACTGCAAAGTATCCCCACTACCCAAAACATCAGTGATCTGAATGTTATGGGGATCATCAGTTACCTTGGGCTACGGATTATCATGATCAGTTCATACTCATTATTAAGCTGTGTGAGTCCAGGTAGTATTATTTTACAAAGTGTTCAAAAGCATCAGGGTATAGGGATGCAAAACAAATTGTAATGGTTCTCTGTATGAATTGAGAATAAGATACTTCAGCCACCATAGAGGTGAGCCACGGAATAGTTCATGTATTTATCATAAAGTACTCCTGAAGGTGATGTTGAAAATGAATACAGGAATGAATAAATAACTTAAAAGCTATAATGTGCTAGCTATATTCATAACAAAACAATTTATTGGTTTGAGGAGCATCTATTGTGCAATGCATTTTTTGTTCAGCATTAGAGCTTTCTTCAATTTGCTGAATGTAAACGATGTGGCTTAATGCTCACTGTCTCATAACAGCAGTCATTTGCTCGAGAGGCTGGGGTTTGGACATTCATCTACAGCAACATCTGAAAATTAAGGAAGTGAAATAAAACTTCTGGCTATAGAGCTTCTCCCCCAGTGATGAGCTGTGCTGTATAGCTTGGGGTGCAGAAAGAAAATTATACAAATCAGCCCTTTTATGCCAGCATTTAACTAACTTGTGTGAGTACTAACTAACAGCTATGTGAAGACTTTATCCTTTGGTTTTTTCCTGAGATAGTATTGATCAGCTTTACAACCCATTGTATGTAAGAGAGTATTCTTAATGCAAAAAATGGCATGCACTTTCATAGAAGTTTCTCTCTAATGTTTTTGTCTTTTAATTTCACGTGCACTTGCACACTTCCCACATCAAAATGTTGCAAGCTAATGTTTTAACAAGAAAATAAACTTCTCACCATCAAAAATAAATCTCACACTGGTATATTTAGCTCAGTGCCTTGTAGGGATTATTCTTTTGCTACTCGGTTAACTTGCTATCCTACCCTGAAAAGTCATTATATTAAAATAGAATCATCCTGTCATTGATTTCCAGATTAAATATTTTCACTTTGCAGTCTCAACAGCCCCGGGGACTCGATCAAAGCTCTGAAAGTAGGGCCCAGTCTTTTCTCCCAATTTACTGTTCTCTGACAGAAAGGCTCTGTGCGTTTGCATCCCTTTAACTGACTGGCTCAATACCATCAAGTGAATAATTAATGTTGTTTATTACGCAAAGGAAGAAGAGAGTGCAGCACACCTTCCATCTGTGCTGAATTGGTAGGAGTCAGAAGGATTAAAAGGAAAAAAAAACTTATTTCAGTTTCTGATGCTGGACTGAGATGACCAAAAATACCAAGGGGTGTCATTATCTGTTGATGCCTGTTTGCTGTCGACAGAGCCTGTCTTTTCTGCAGCCAGGGCTGTATTTTAAACGCGTTTCAGCCTTTCTGTAGAGAAGAGGAGTGAATCAAATACCAACATGACAGCCCTTTGTCGACAGAGGCTGGGAAGGGAGAGAAGCCCAAGTGATCCAAGCTCTTCTCCTTAGAAAGTATCTGTTTCTGCTGTTTTCATCCATTTCTAGAGGGCTGTTTGCAGTAAGCGGTGGAGCTGCTGCATCCACGCGCTGTGCGAGCCCAGCTAATGCAGCCGCTGTTGTTAACGTAGTCGTGGTGACAGGGAAATCGTGGGGGGGCCAGGGAAGCAGAGGGCAGATTCCTAAATCTCTTGTAAGGTTTTGTTTATTCTTCTAACTGCTGACTGCATTTTTTGTGTTTTGGCCATGAAATAATTTGGCTGGGTGTTTTGGGACCGGGGATTTTTTCAGCGTTACTGGTAATGTATTTTAAGGTTACTCGTAGGTATTTGTGGTTTAGACCAGTTTGAGAGTTTTCTGTGCAGCAGTGCAGAGAGGCAAGAGGGAAAGGTCTCTCTTCCTAGACTACTCTCCCAGTTTTGCCCTGTTACTGAAAGGTGATGGTACAGAAAAAACGCAATTTCTTATCTGAGTGGGGTCTCATGCTGTCTACCTCAGTGTCAAACCTGACCCCAGATCAGGCCCGACCTGGGGCTAAGGTTTCAAAGCAAGCTTTGTACCTCATACTCTCAAGTAGAAGGTCAAAATTATAAGGCTTGAGCTAACGCATCTGGTTTTCCTCTGATTTTGTCTGCTGCTCCCTGCTGCCCCCCTATTTTCAGTTTATTGCTGCTCAGGGTGCATGCTCTGGGAGAGGAGCAACTGTTGCCTGGCTCTTTCGGGAATATCTGCACTCCAAACCAGCCTGAGAAGACACTTCTCTCCTTGCAATTCACGGTCGAGGCTCTGGCCCATTCTCCATGCTGTTTCCTATTAAAATAACAAATCTGTTTTCCTCCCGCAGTCTGGCAAGTTTTCTAGCAGCTCACCCCCCTGCCAGAGCCAGCCCCAGGGGCTGCAGTACGCCGAGGATGCTGCAGAGCACGAGAACATGAAGGCCGTGCTGAAGACCTCCTCCATCGGCGGGGAAAGCACCACAGCGCTTGGGGTCCGCACTCGAAGCCGGGCCAGCCGAGGTAAGTGCCAGCAGTTTCCTTTTGGCCACGTTCCTTGTGGCACAGTAGCCACACGGTGGCCCAAATTCGGGTCATGGCCTCCTTGTGTGGCGCTCATGGCAGAAGGGGTTGAAGGAGAAGACCCCAGTGGTGTTTCCACACTGGAGGTTGTGATTTGGGGCATGGGGAGGAAGGAGAATTTGCCTGAAGTTTTAACACATGGATCTCAGCCAAAGTAGTGCCTGGGGGCGTTAGGAGTACAAGCCTGCAGAAATTCACACCTCTCCCCCCATCCCTGTGGACATGGCTACCCACTAATACCCCAGTTTTTATTCCTGTTCTCATCATGAAGGCAAAATGGGGCATCCACGATGCGGTTTTCTTTTTATTTTCAACAGAAGCAAGTAGAAAGTAGCAATTCAAATTGAAGCGAAAGGGCCTTGCAGCATTTTAGGAATGACTGGGGAGAGGAAAAAGAGTAGGAGAAAGATGGTGAATCTTCTCACCCACCTCCCTGCTAAACTGCAAAGCTAGTGGATTAAGTGGAGCCTGGGAGCATAAAAAGCTGCTGTGAACAGTCCCGCATCTCCTCGCTGTCCTGACATAGACCTCTTTCTCTGAGGTCCACAGCGCTCTGCTGTTCCCAAATGTCAGCATGGGTGATTGCTGAAAGCTGACAGGGAGGAAATGAAAATCTGACCCAATCTGCCGATTCCAACACCTGATACTCTGACAGAAGAGCTCACTGGTACAACCGTTTTTGGCAATGAGATAGCCTTGTTTTTTGTCCAAGACATGATTCAATGGTACACCTCTTCATTTAAGCAGCCACTAAACCACTTCCCTTATGTTAAATCATTTTACAGACACTGGGTTCACCAGTTTATTTTCTTTCATCTTCCCCTCACCCCCTTCCCATACACATGATACCTGGAAGATGATTTTGGAGTAAAGGTGACACATCAAAATTCAAATCTTCCGTTTTCTGTTCTGGTATTTCTTTTCCCCCACATCCGGATATCTTACACTTTCTTGATTCTTTTTTGATACCACTGATAGCACATCCAGAGCATCCACCACGAAGTCTGTGTGTGTGTAGTTTATCAAGGCTTGCAACCCCAATCCTGTCTAATTTAGTGGTTTCACAGCCCCAATTTAAGAAGCATATCTACTAGCTAAATTACAAAGATGACATAATTCAAGCTGCACTGCATCGAGCCGGATAGCTGAAGTAATCCACTGAATGTTTGTGAGCAGCGTGCCCTGATAATAAGGGTCAGCTTGTGCTCCCCTGCAGAGCAGCAGCGGCAGAGGACGGGTGAGCCAGACAGAAGCTTGTCAGGAGCTCTATCGTAATACAACTGCTCCTGACGAGAGCCAGGAGAGCAGCAGCAGAGCAAAGTGCTAATCAAAGCTGTTGTTTATTGACCCTGGGGACGCGATAACAGAGCGAATTTTCAGCTGCTTGCAGTTCTGCCACACCCAGTCTTTTGCAAAGCTCGCTGTCGGTGTTCTCACTGCATACTAGCCTTCAGATTATTCCAAGACAAAAAGCACACGGAGCAGTAGTCTGTTGTGGAGTAACCCAAAGATGTGTCTGACACAGCTCTGTGGAGTAAGGAGTGCCAGACCCTTGGGTTCGGAGACATGGCTCACTTGTTTGTTTGTGGTTTTAACCAAAATTGCTTATTTAGCTTTTCTGCTCGCCAGCGACTCTTGCTTTTCTGCTTGTATCAGAGCACATGCAGTTGTGCCAGGACACATACATACAGCTTTGTGAGGAGAAGGTGAATTCTTCATTGTGAAAAGGACAAGTGGATATGTCAAACCACATTTTTTTGCCCTTTTCATATCTTATTTACACTAGGTTGTGATACAGACACTCGGAAATGGATTCGTTCTCTCTTTTGGTACAAAGGACCCGTCTGGCAGATTTGCATCAATTTCTAACATGTGCCGTGTCTTCTAGTCTCTGTGTTACAAAAGCAGAGGGGAACATGGTCACACAACACTCCTGCAATCCTTGGCTTACAGACAGTCTCTAGCAGGCATTTGCCAGTTGTATGGTCGAGGCTAAGACTCTGATGCTGAAGGGAATTGAAAGTTATAATTGCATTTGAGCTCTCGGGTCTCTGCTGATACAGCAGAGAGTCTAGGGTATTATTTAGAAATATTCTCTATTAGGCAATCCTCTACTTTGGCCAATTTGAAGTAGCGATGACTGAGCTGTCTGCTGTAATTCCCAAAAAAACCCAATTGCAAAACCAAAGTGACGCAAGAGACTTCTGTCGTCTTTTCCCTCAATTAATTTGCTGGACTTTTCCAGGCCGTATCAGTTCATGGAACGCTGGCAATGACGATTCACCTAATGCAACGGATGACGCAGCAGATGAGATCATGGATCGCATCGTAAAGTCTGCCACCCAAGTGCCAAGCCAGCGAGCGGTGCCTAGAGAGAGGAAGCGGTCACGAGCAAATAGGAAGTCGTGTGAGTATACGGCTATTAAATTTCTCAAAATAAGCAAATATGCAAATATTGATGTATATCAGTGTAGGAGCCAGGCCTTTAGTATACAGACATGCATTGGTAGTTCATAGTGAGCTTGAGCATATGCTTAGTGATTGGCGTATGTTCCTCTTACTGTTGTTTAAACCGATGAATGCAGTGGATGACTCTGTCTTCTACAGAAGTTGAAATGTCCTTAGCATAAGAGAAAAAGAATGTTTTATGGTGCTTTGGAGCTTCTCTGATGACAGTGCTTATTCATAACTAGAGAAGTCAGATCAAGACCTCAAAGGGGGACTGTGAAGGTACGGTGAACTGGCATGAACATTAATAGTGGTATCTGTAGCTGAATTTATTCATAAAGCAAAAAGTATTTTGAGAGATTTCACCTCTTAAAATCTTTCTCTCTTGTGCTGTGTACCATCCTTCCACAGCCCTGAAAACAAAATGTCTACCGCTGCTTGGCTGCAAAGTGGTTATAGAGGAGCTTAACTTCCACTGGGAAGAAAAGGTAGCACGTTTATAAGGTGGTCTTTTAATGGTGTAGTGTGGCTGAAGGGCTGAGCTGCGGCGAAGGACCTTGAGCAATTTGATTTTATACTTTATTAAATACAATGTTTAAGACGGGATGACCTTTCGAGTGCTTTTTTTCCTTACGTGCAGAGACTACTGAGATTAGCGTGAGAAGGATTAAATACCCAAAGAACATAAGATTTTAGTGTCTAATGTCATTCACCATATGTGGCTTTTTGACTACCTTTCCATCCATCTTTTTAGCATTTCTGGGAAGTTAGGACAAAGAGGAGACAACAACAGTGAGTGAAAAATCACACAGATTTTCGTTTTTTGTGGAATTGTTCTAACATAGTGGGTGATCAAAGACATTTGGTATAAGCAGTGATTGCTGTAAGCTAGCATGTGCTGAAAGCATATTCACTTTCCCCAACATGCTAAGAAAGGGACTTCTGCATGTGGCAAGAGCAAAAGCAAAGTGGACACTCTGGTTGGATGAGCCAGACTCAATAAGCAAACAAAATGAGCTGACACTGGATTGTCTTGTCTTACTTTCCGTCATACACTGTGCTGTTCCTCTTTGTGGCATCACTGTCTGCTGCTGCCCACTTCCCCACACAGTTCCGCTCTTCTGCCCGTGCTGACTGCCCTAGTTGGCTTGTGCATATCAAATAAACCTCCTGTATGTTTGCCTATTTCCATGGTTTATCCCGTGCTAAAATATTTCCTCTGTTAGCAACACTATCTTCATGCACACACACCAAAGAGTCTTGTTTCTGCTTTTTACCAGGTGCCTTTTACCCAAGAAATCACTTGCTGCAGGAAAAAACCATGCCAGGATAATGATAATAAAAATACTATATATTTTTCCCTGGAGCTGGCTTTTATATTCAGTAAAAGCATTAACAGGGATTAAGCATTCAGTAAATGTTTAGGCTGTGACTGATTTCCATTGTAATTAATCATGATAGAATCCAGCTCTTTTGCTTGTTGGTTCTTCAAGATCTGGGTGAGACTCTTAAGTGGATTAAAAGACAGTTTCAAACCAAACATGAAGTTCAGTAGTTTAGCATCACTTTTCAGCTGACATGCTGAAAGAAAGCGTGAAAGGAGAATATCTTAACTGAACTGTTTCACTCTGATAGGTAGTCAGGATACCTGGATGATGAATAAATGAAATAGTTTAGCTCTAAAATGCACTCAACTGGACTGATAATCTGGCACCTCCATGAAATGAAGAGAGACCAGCCCTTGTCAATGCATGGTGTGAGTTAAACAAGCAAAAGACCTTCCAGGTAGAAATATAACACTGAGCCTCCATAAGCATATTAGACAGTAGCTTTTCAGGCATACTTCAATGATTTAGATTAGCGGACACTATGATATTTATTATCTGCAGAGCAAAGAGACCCTATTATCTGATGGGTTTAATTCACCACCTTCAGTCTCCAGGCTCCCATACACATCCTTTGGCTTTTGCCATGAGCTTGGTGTTCAATCTATTCATGGACATCAAAGCAAAACTCAGTTGAAAGGAATTATTTTCACTGTGCATCTTGTTGCATATGTCTCATTGCTTTCAGTGCAGAACTGGAAATCTTGTCAGACTTACTTAGCTTTCAGCAAAGATTTTTGTGAACCTGAGCTGAGATACATGGTTTTAGCAAAATCAGAAACCCAAAAGATTTGTATGCACTTGCCCTATAAGCTTTTCCTGTAGCTCAGGTAGAAAGGCACAGGGGTTTTTTTCCATTAAAAAAAAGACAGAAAAATGTGAAGTAAAAATCAAGTGATACTCAAGTCATTTATAACTAGGGGAAAACAGTAATATGGAAAAGGTTAAGTTAAATTCAAGAAATACTTGTACTGGGAAAATGAGACATTTTCACATGTTCCTTTGAACCATTTTACCTTTTGTCATTGTCAAGCAGCGTGACTGTATGTGGTGTGCAGAGAGCTTAGTTAGATCTTAGTGACACAGAAGAGTTTGAACGCTCAGAGCAATCAGCAGAACCATAACTTGGGAGGAGGAATAAGGCAGTGAGTCATCCAACAAAAGACAGATGGCAACGTCTGTATCTGATGGTTGAAGATACAAGGGGTCGCTGATACATCCAGATAGGACTGAAGTCGACTGAGACCTAGTAGGAAGGAATTTGTTTGGTGGGAGCTGAAATGGACTACAGACAGCTAAGGTAAATGGTAAGTGCATGACAGCTGAATTCCTATGATGATCTGCAGAGAGGAAACTTAATTCTGTGATAGATCTTTACATGGCAGAGGTTTTAAAGATAAAATTTGACATTTATAAGTACAGCAACCAACTGGAAGTCATTGCCTCATGATGGGTGTTCAGTGACCTGCCTACCAGACATACTGTTATACATGTGAAAACATTACAGTTGTATTTGTTCATTAGGAGCCTCATCAGAAAGCCACAGGATTGAATGAGGTGCTGTCTCTGTGTTGGTCTCTTCGAACTGAATGTATCTACCTTAGGAGAATGATGTGATTCCCATGAGTCAGCGTCATGAAAAATCGTACTCCAGTATAGTAATTGTGAATAAGCATATGGAAGGTGTTCGCACAGATTCTGGCATATGCAGAGCAATAGTTGGAAATGTTGAGCCACAGATGGTTGATTTCTGACCTCTGTGAATGGCCATGGCAGGGCCCTGAAAAAGGACCAAGAGAAAGCCCTAAGGATTCGTTACCTTGTTCAAGTGCTGATTGAGCCACAGGGTAGGAAAACCAGACCAGCTGACTAGTAATTACCTTAAGGCTAAAACATGAACCTGCAAGTGTCTTCCTCCTCCTTTACAAATTGTTAGTACTAGCAACCTTCATGCTTGAAAATGTGTCTCCTGGCTCCCTGAAGTCAAGGCAGTGCTTGGAGTGGGGATCCCGTTCGCCACCGAATGATTTCAGATAACTGCACCAAGGAAATAGCTCTTTAAAGATTGCTTGACTGCACAGCATGGTTTGCATCTGGATCTTCAGCTGGCCCTGAATGGCAAACCGTAATGTAGGGCCCAGGTGTGACTAATATTTGATGGTGAGTAGCACAGTGGGGGTTGTATTGGATTCTGCTGAAGACACTGCATGAGGACATTGCAGAGTGAGAGGCTTGGTTTCCCCCACATTGTTTTATCTCGGACCATCTCTGTGTGTGCACGCTCTTAGATTCTTTTATTTCTCCTAGGTTTTATTAAAATTCAAAATCTGCTTTAGATTTGAGTTAGAGAAGTGGGTTTGGAGCAGATAATAATTGAATCAGAATTTAATCCAGCATTCTAATGAGACCACTTGATCAAAATTATTTGTGATGTTTAAAAAAGAGAGAGGAGAGACATGATAATGCCTTGATCTTTTATTAGGCTTTTGTGATCACAGGTTAGGCTAATAATATACCCTGTGACTGACCCCTGAGATACAGAAACTTCTCATAAGGATTTATTGACTTATTTGCATAATGACTCTCAGGTAGTAAAAAAATTTTACAGTCATTACGCAGAAGTGGATCTGAGGCGCCACCCAAGTAATCTGTCAGACTCATATGAGTGGACTGCGGAGGAGACAGGAATTGAGTCAAGATTACCTGAATCCTAGACAAATAAGCTCAGAGCCGGTGGATTAAATTTAACTACAGAACATCCCAGGTCAGGTATTTCATACTAAATTCCACCTTCAGTAAAAGTGAAATAGGAGTTAGCACACTGTCATCAGGTGCCAAAATGGGGGAACGAGCTCTGCCAAAAGACCAGGCGTGGATACAAGCTTCAGACAAGTTTTTAGTAACACATGCACTGCTGCTTTCGAGCAAACATGTTTGTAAGCAAACAAAATACTAGATGGGAGACTATTTGAAACCAAAGGTGTGTCATTTTTGTTTGGCATTCATAGGGTGCTTCAGTTAACTTTTTCTTCTTCTTTTCTTTGTTTTTTCATTATTTTTCATTTTCATGTCTCTCCACTTACTTTTTCTGGCTATGAAAAGATACAGAAGTGCCAAAATACCAGGCAGGAGACTGTTCTTCTGGTATTTATAGCCTGACTAAAAGCAGGAGTTAATGGAAATTATGCTTTTAAAAAAATAAAAACCTTACAAGAAGAAAGTCTATATAAAATGCTTTAAAGCCAAGCAACTTCACTTAGAATTTGCAACTAATTACTTAGGATTTGAACAACTGGATTCTATCAGGAGTTAGAGGAGGGGGTAATCTAGTTAGTGATGCACACTGAGCAACAGCTCTTTGCATTTAGAAAAAGTAAATGTATTACTGATGGTATTCAGTATCAAAGTCTGTTTGTCCTCAGACAAAGTACTGAGCTTTCAGCAGGTCAATACCCAGTTAATAAAAATCTAATTATTGAATGAAAAGAGAACATGAGATAAAGCACTTAAAACTCTTGGCAGCTGGAAGGTTATCTCCCTTAGATGCCAAGATAGCTAATGTCTTTTGGATGCC